AAGTTCCAGCAGCTAACAGACTCGGCAGGATCCAAAGCTTTCAGGGGACTCTGCCCCAGCCGCTAGGTTTGGTTTTCATTTTGCATTTGAAAAATGTCAAGGTCATTTCACAAACCTTGGAAATCGAATCCCAATCCACTCGAAATTTTCTCCTTCTTCCTCTAAATCTCCTTGTCCTAAACCTCTCTGAGAGAATGCAAGCTATTATGCCTTATCAGATGTTTCCTTGTTTGAAATCCATGGCAATCACATTTAATTTCGTTAGAGTTTGTGTCCTGTGGTCACGCATAAGCTCCTAAACCAACAACAGTTAAAAACAAGGTGCATTCCTTAATTCCTAATTCCAGTCTACTTATGCAGGATGTTATCCCACCGATCTGAAAGTGTTTTTCGAAACCTACAGTGATAAATGTGTCAGACTCTCAGCTGGGCTCTTTACTTCCATAATCCTTAATCCTCTACCCAATCCCATTTTGCAGGTGAGGAAGGAACCTGTCCCAGGTCACTCGGTATGTGACCCCATCCGCATGGACGCTTGGTCCAGCGTGGTTCTAAAGGCCAGCCACCAGCTGTCTACTCGCAACATGCTGCCCTGGCCTCCCCAACGTGGGAGGTTTGCATCTGCCCTCCCGTTTTTTACTTAAGGAGGTGTGCAGTGAACTTGGGGTCCTGAAGTACACATCTTGGGGTCAGAAGGCCAGCACGGCAAGGTATCTTTGGGTGGGAGGGTCTTGGTGTTTAAACTATTTTACTTGAGTCACTTAAAACCTGATACAACTCAGAAAAAAAGCTCCTTGTCACCTCTACCCCTGGCTCCCATTCACCCCCCTAAACACCAACGCACAAAGAAACAAAAGAAGAATCTGTTCACTTCGGTCTCACATGTACACATTAAAATGATGTCCTTTACACCAGGCATGATGGCTCACAGGCACTTTGGGAGGCTGAAGTGGACAGATTACCTGAGGTCAGGAGTTCAAGACCAGCCTGGCCAGCATGGTGAAACCCCGTATCTACTAAAAATACAAAAAAATTAGCTGGGCACAGTGGTGCACATCTATACTGCTAGCTACTCAGGTGGCTGAGACACAAGAATCACTTGAACCTGGGAGGTGGAGGTTACAGCGAGCAGAGATCCCACCACTGCATTCCAGCCTGGGCGACTGAGAGAGAGACAGACCAAGCTCTGTCTCAAAAAAAGAAAGAAAGAAAAAGATGTCCTTTACATGAGGATTAAAACCCTTAGGTCAAAGTTCCAATGTCAGTAAGACAACTTGATTAAAGAACTGAAACTGAAATACACTTTCTGTGGATGCTCTTTGTAAAGCGATTGTTTTCAAGTCTTTCCCGCAACCAGTGCCCAGCAGACTGCTAAGAGCAGCTAGAAGGCACCCTCCGTGGAGACACTCAGAACCTCAGACTCCCCATTTCTTCCCCCACACCCTGCACTTTTCCTTACTCATCAGTTCCTTCTAGCCAGGGTCCTCCTTGGCCCACATGACCCGCGACACCTGGAAGCCATTACCTCATACCTCCCCACCATCCTAAGAGGTGTGTGGGAAGTCTGCTGAGGTCTAGGGGTCCAGGGCTTATTATTTGTTCCCGCAAATCTTTTAGTCTGTCTGAGCCTCCATCTCCCAAATAGTGCCAAACAGGCTGCATGCTGCCTCCTGAGGGCCTGAGATACAGAAGGGCTCTGCAGTGGAAAGTGTTAGACTAACAAACATTAGGGGTTACATTGCCCTAACTGTTCTTCGCTAGACTCTGTCTGGCACTTTGTGACAGATTCAAGCTTACACCCCCCAGGGGCAACTACACTCCTGTGGCCATTTGCTGTAGGTGAACTTTTATATAGAGTTAATAGGTTTATATTGCCACCCAAAAGAACAGCCCAGGTTCTGTGAGGCGGCCTGATTTATGGCAATCACAAAAGCTAGGTCCCTTGCAGACCACAGTTGGGAACCCCTTTGTGTTAGCTTTGTGCCTCAGTTTACCCAACTATGAAATGGGCAAAACATCTTTGGTGGTCTGGGAGTGTGGGTACAGACTGGAAATCACTAAGGCAAAATCACCTGGCTGACACCTTGTCCACTTTAACACATACACACACTACCTATCAGCACCATAATCCAAATTCCCAGGGAAGAAAACTACTAAGGCCCACGGTTCAGCCAAAGAGGGCTCTGGAAGGCTACGTTCCTTTTGCTCCGCGACCCCATCCAGCCCTTCCTAACACCAACAGCCAGGCCAACAGAGGTTTGAGCCCCTTAGCAGTCTGGGAAGGTGGGTGGGTGGACTACAATTAGACCATCCTGCCGGTTCCCTCTTCACTCCAGATACTATGTTTATTTCCTGTGAGCGGGCCCAATCCTGAAACACTTCACAGAGGATTCTGATGTGGAGACATGGATAGTGAATGAGCTTTCTCCTGCCACCTTGGGCCTGCCCTGGGCCACGACAGGAGTGTTCTCTGGCGTCTCTTGGCCCGCTCTTCCCTCCATTTGGCTTTTCACCAAACACTAATAGGGGACAAGGATCTATCCCTCCCTCAATTCCCCTGCCCCTGTCACTTGCTATAGACCTCTTTCCAGATTAGGTAAATGCAGATTTTTAGAAAAATGAACAATGTTTTTTTATTGGGGGCCTAAGAACACGTCACCTGCAAAGATACACACAAGAGTTTATAAATAGTCCTGCAGAAGTCAGATTTCTCTGGATGGGGCTGGGCGCTATGGTTCATGCCTGTAATCCCAGCATTTTGGGAGGCCAAGGCTGGTGGATCACTTGAGGTCAGGAACCAGCCTAGCCAACATGGTGAAACCCCGTCTCTACTAAAAAGACAAAAAAATTACCCAGGTATGGTGGCTCATGCCTGTAATCCCAGCCACCTGGGAGGATGAGAGAGGAGAATCACTTGAACCTGGGAGGTGGAAGTTGCAGTGAGCCAAGACTGCACCACTGCACTCCAGCCTGGGCAACAGACTGAGACTCTGTCTCAAAAAAATAAAAAATAAAAATAAATTCCCTGGGTGGAATGACACTGCCCACTCTGCCTTACGTTAGAATGTTCCAGATCTCCCCGCAGGCTCATTCCTCTCCGGTGGCACAGAGGACACCATCCAAGAACATGGACTATTGGGAAGCAGGGGGTACAAGGCAGGCAAGGTCCTCCCACCCTGGAAGTCTAAGCGGGGGGTATATTAACAGCCATTGCAAGTCATTTGAAATTCACATAAAGGCTTCTTTGAATATTTCTCACAAGAACTGTTAATGAAAACATTTCTAATTACGGTACAAGACTCACTTGGGCAAAGATGATGTCTCTATTTCTTACAAGCTATAGGTTGTTAAAGTATTTAACCTTTCAGAACCTTAATTTCCTCATCTGTAAAAAGGTGAAGTTCTTGAAAGGTAAAATAAGATAATGTATATAAATCTTGAAGTATTGGGTCTGACACAGTATCAATCATAATATTTTTAAAAATGTAAAAAGCTGTGTTGAAGGATTCCTTTATGCCAGGTGTCATTCTATGCAAGTTGGGGCCTTCAAAGTCCACAGCCACCCTGGGAAGCAGATACTATGTCCATTTCTATTTTAGTTACAGAAGGTGAGAGGTCAGAGGGGTTAAGTAACTTCCCCAAGGTCACAAAATGAAGTCTGGATAAGAACCAACGCAATCTTGCCCCCTGAGGCAGACCTGGCCTCCAAAACGCTGTCTCTTTCTATTGTCTAGGGATATCCCTCATTAAAAGGCAGTAATGGGTAGTCACTCATATTTCATAGGTATCATTTTGCCCACTGCCCGCTACCTGCTACAGGAGTCATTTTTACCTTGCAAATGTGCATGCTGTTAAAAAAAACACACTGCTTCTTGTAAAATACGGTTACTTTTCAAGTGCTGTGTCCCAAAGCCAGGATGCACAACCTTTCTCTGGAGGGACCTTGCAGCAAATACCCGAGGTAGCCCAAGAGAAAGAACAAGCCCCAGCGGCCGGCTATTGTCAGAGGCCAAGCTGAAAAGCTCTCTGAGCCTTAGCTTTAAGTCTATAAAATGAAAAAACAAAGGTGAAAGCCATTCTGCTGGCCCTTAGTCTCTGCTTCCGTCCCCACGACGGCCTGGGGAACCATACAGAGGGCAGGCTCTTGTCTTCATTCCTGGCCCAGGCACTTAACCGCACCCGGGTTGGGGGCGGGGGTGAGGTTCTCCAATCCTTCATAAACTGCCCACCGCGCATTGGGTGCGTTCCCCAGGTGCTCCCTTCTTCACCCAGATGGTGCAGAGGGGAGATAGTCTGGGGAAGCAGAAGGAGGTATCAGTGCCACCACCTGGAAGTGACCCCACCAGCGGTGCTGTGCGCTCTTAGATAAGGCTGGCCTTGAGAGGGCATCATGCACGGCCTTGGTCACTCCAGATGCCCAGGGAGAGACGCAGCGCAGCAGGAGCAGCGCCTTGTCCCGGCCAGCCCTAGGGCGCACAGCTCAGAGATGCCAGAGCAGAAACGCTTGCCCTGGGGGAAGGGGCAGCTCGATTGTGGAAGTGGGCAACTGGAGCAGCTGTGGAAGATCCAGGAAAGCGCTGGAGGAGCTGGCCCGCCTGCCACCTTAGGATTTTGGGGGGGGGGGAGTCCAGCTGGGCGGGCTAGGGAAGAGGGAGCTCCAGGACTCTCCTAGCTGCCACCTCTCTGTCATCAGCGAGGGAAGGAGCTCTCCTTCTTCCCGCAGTAGAGGGGAGTCAGGGACTTAGGCTGCCCTTCTCAACAGCAGTGGTACCTCCTCTCCCCCGGCCCAAGGATGCGATTCTCCAACCCTACCTAGACATAAGGTTTCCTTTTAAACCAGGACACCAGTGCTGTGACTGTTACCCAGAGTTTCGTTTCTTGTTTGTTTTGGTAGATCAGAGCTGCTCAATTTTTCCTCGGAGGTTGTGGACTACACAGATTCTTTTCTTGGCTCCAGATTGGTGGTGGGTGGGGAAGGGGTGTACGAAATACAGAATGTGGCCCGTCTACATTGCCATCACTTTATTGTACTGTCACCCTTAATTTAACTATAAATACTACGGTGGGATGAGGCGCAGGCAGCCTGGGGCTGCTGGGCTGTGGGTCCTGGCGCGCCCCGACCCCAGGCGCCGACCCTCCCGGCTCTGTACACTATTTACAGCTCCTCGTTCCTTTCTCGACCCCCTCCCGCAAGGCAGCGCGTGTGCAATAAAGTAGCATCGTCTGTCTGTGCAAGTCCTTCGAGTTAGGCAAGTAACACGGGCAAGTGTCCCGCGGCCGTCAGCTGTCCGAGTCCAGATCGCTTTTACCTTCCTCTTCCCTCTTCTCCGGCGATGCCTTCGAGGACGACGTCTTGTTCCACTTCTCCGCGTTCTCCGACTCCTCGGATGAGGACCGCTTCTGCCGCCTCCATTTGGCCCGGCGGTTCTTAAACCAGACCTGTTGCGCAACGGAGGACAAAACAGTTCAGGTCAAAAGAGAGCTTCCCCCAGTCCCGGGGTACCTCGGGAGCCCGGTGGGGCGGCAGGACACCCCGCGCAGGCCAACAAAAGGAGGGGAGCCGCTAGCTCCCGCTTCCGCGTTTTCATTCAACTTCCTGGGCCTAAAGCGCCCTCCAGCAGCCTGCGGGCCGCCATCGGGACGTTTTTAAAGTGCGGGGAGAGCCAAGTACGGCTGGGCAAACCCGTCTGGGGCCCCACCTCGCGGGGAATGACCGCTAGGCACCCGCGGCAAGGCTCGGTGCCTACCTCCACTTTCTCCTCGCGGAGGTGCACTTTCCGGGCCAGCTGCTCGCGAGTGCCCACGTCCGGGTACTTGGTCTCCTGGAAGAGGTTCTCGAGCGCTTCGAGCTGCTCGTCCGTGAAGATGGTGCGGTGCCGCCGCTTCCGCCGGCAGTGCAGCTGGTTGAGAAGCTGCAACTCGGTGCGCGACAGCGTGCCCACGTTCATGTAGGGCAGCATCTGGTGCGGTACCGGGGACACGAGCACCGAGCCGGGGCCCTCATAGCCTGCGACAGAGTGGGGCGACTGTCAGCCACCCGCCCTCGCCACCGCCCTCCCGCCAGCCGGCGACCCTCTTCCACTTAGAAGTCGTCTGCAAGGGGGTGCTGGGAATTGGGGGTGCGCAGGAATCAGGGGTGCAGGGAAAAGAAGGGAGCATGTGAGAGCGCCTACTCGCACACCCCCCAAAGCCAGTTAGATTATATAAAAAAAAAAAACCAAACAACACCCTGTCTCCCAGTGCAGGCACTGAATTACAGTTTTCTCGAACTCTGGATAAAAGTTTTCAGCAAGTTTGCAAACTCCGGCGCCCGATCCGCAAAAACGGAGCGGGGACTTGCAAGAGGAGCAACGTTTGAGGAAGGTGAATTAACCAACTGGCGCTAGGGACTAAGGACCACAGTGGGCGGCAGAGGCCGGAGCGAGCGCGACCCTACCTGGGGGCGTCGGGACGCAGGAGCACTGCTGGGCGCCCAGCGGCGGCACGGCCCCACAGCAGGCCGGGCCCACGGGCGCCGCCTGCACGTGCAGCTGCCCGTAGAAGTAGTTGTTGTAGCCGAGGCGGGAGCCGCCTACCGCGGCCTGGAGGCCCGCGCCGCCGGGGGCCACCGGGCGCGGGTAGAAGGCGCCATAGTCCGAGGAGGCGCCGCCGCTGGCGCCGTAGAGCGAGTCCCCGTGCAGGGCCGGGAAGACGACGGGAGCCGCCGCGCTGGGCGCCACCGGCAGCACCGAGTCCTTGCAGCGCGGCCGGGCGGCCAGGATGTTGTCGATGCTGAACATGCTGGCTGGCATCCCCGAGCCCCGCGCCGGGACCGGGGGACGGCGGGAATGCGCCGAGGACAGAGCCTAAAAGTGGGGGGGGGTCCACTCTCCTCCAGCTGCCGACCAAATCGAAAGAGAGCGCCGGCGAGCGCGCAACCCAGCGCCCCTCCCCGCCCCCCGCGTCCGCTCTCCCTCCTCCCGCCCTCCCCTAGCCACAGCGTTCGCTGAACTCAACCAGCGGGTAGGACGGAGCTCAGACCAGCTGAACCTCTTGTTGGTTTTATACTGAGTCGACGTCATCCTGGATTTAGTTCCTGGTAATATGCAGATGACAAACAGCCGCTCTTTTCCTTTGGGTGGGGGAAGGGGGTTGGGGGAGGGGAGAAGTGCCAAGGGGAGGGGGTTACAAGGCCTAAAAAGAGATTGTGGATTGCGAATTAATGAAATTAACGTAATCTTTTCCATTCCGCAGCCGGGCCGCGGACTAGCCTAGCTGGGCGGGCGGCCTAATTGCCTTGGTTAATCTCATTAATTCCATTGTGCCTGGGCAGTTAACAACTCCCTCTGCCCGACCTCTCCACCCCCACCCTTTTTTTCTCAGATTGGGTCCTATTATTGGGTGCGATTTCCTCTGCCTGTAGCTCAGATTCATTGTGGACGATTTTACTCTGGGGCTACTTTCTTCCCTCTTTCGAAATGGGTTTTGTTTTAGAAAATGTGAGGGGCTGCGTCCCCTCTCAAGCAGGACTGAAAATTCCATCACTCCTCCGCGCCCCCACGTACTCACCGCCTAATTTCACCTCTTTTTTAAATCGTGAGTTTCTCTCCCGAATGGAACTCGTTAAGCCCCACAAAAACTTTTGTTTTTGCAAAAGCCACATTTTGTAAAGGCAAAAACGACGAAAGGAGAGGTGCAGCGTGCTTCTTAAAAAGAAAAAAAATTTTTTTTTCTTTTGCCGCCACTCTGGGTCTGAAAACTACCATAGCAGTCCCTAGGTCCTACACAGCGAAGACCAAATTCCGTCGCTCTTTCAAATTCGCCACCAAGAGTTGCAGTCTGAAGCGGTGCTTCCAGCTGCTCCCAGCGTGGGTATCGGTAGGTTTTGGGCTTTTAAAAAATTATTTTTGGAAATACGGTGTCTTCTCTCCCAAACCATTTTTTTAGCTTTCAATCCAGATGGGGTCTTTGGGACTTCTCTATCTTCTTCCCCAATAATTGGGCCGCATTTTTCCATACGACGTGCTGGCTCCCGGATAGAGACAGACCCCCTACTCGCGGCCTTGCCCTTCCGCCTGGCAGCCCCAGAGTGGACTGCCTGGGCCCCAGTGGCGTGGACGATGGCCGGCTCTGATCGCGGCAGGCGGCCGCGGTGATTTGCGAGATTCTCGGCACCGCACTGCGCGCCGGCCGGAGCCACGGGAGGCGCAGCCAGCCCACCACTCACTGCAAGCAGGCGGCCAAGCGCCCTTCAGAAGGTAGGCGAAGGTACGCGCGGCACAAAAGCAGTCCCCCAGATCCTGCTGACTGCGGTACAAGACCGCAGTTTGCAACTCAGGCCACTCCCGGGGAAGGGGCAGGACCAGACCCAGGCGATACCGCCGAGAGCCGGAGATGGAGATGGGGTTCGGGGAGAGACCTCGGGTTTCCTGAAGGAAGGCCACCTTTAACTCACACCTATTTTTCGCGATTTCTCTCTGGCCAATTAACCACAGGACCCCGCAAAGTTGTCTGAAGTCGCCGCAGTTAAGGCTAAGTAAGTGGGCTGCCCACTCCTTGGCAGAAAGGCCACTTGTCAATTGCTGTTCAGGTTTCAAAGAGCCACTGCGTGGAGGTTTAGTACTGGCGGAGGGCACTGCTCTGGCTGCGCGCAGAAGCGGCCCGCTAGAGCCAGGCGGCGCTTCTCCTCCTAGGCCTCCCGGCGTGGACCTCTGTGTCCTCACGCTCACCGGCCTGTGGCCTGAGAGTTGCTCCTTCCAGTGCTGCGCAAGCTAGAGGTGGCTGGAGATGGGGATTAGGACAAGACGGAGATGGGTCTCAATTTAGAGAAACGAATAGATTTTTTTTTTTTTTTTAACAAAAACAAGGGGGGGAGTGTAACCCTCCCCTTAGAGAGGTGAGGTCTAGGGTAAGAAGTGAGGCACCTTCCATCTCCCACTGACTAAGATGAAGGCTTTTTTGTTGTTCGGTTCTCAGAGACTTAAGTCACTATGCTCCAGGACACAGACACTCCCCCACCAATCTTTCGCAGATTTACATCTACAGGGCAGTTGTTGGAAAACAACTAGAGGCTCCAACCTCAGCAGTGACTTTCCCTGCGTTTGTGTTGGAGGCTGGGCGTGCGCTGAGGTGTGCATGAGAGTGGATCTTTTAAGACCTTTGTCTGAGCCGGGCAGAGGCACAAGTGCCACTGGACGCTTGGGGCAGATTCCTGGTCCTGTTCTTGCAAAGATGCCCAAATCAGGATAGTGTCAATATTTCAACCGCAGACCTAGAAAAAAAAAAGTGTCTCCACGTTTTTAAAAGTAATTAGACAACTACCTCCACACACGCCTTCGGTCTCTCTCCTTCCACCTGGCACATTGTTCTCTTCAATAACCAGGTTTAGCAAACTCCTATACTGCACCTGTGCTTCCCTGCTGCCCTTCGCTGTACCATCAGAGCCCTGTACAGGATCTGAGCGTCAGAGTTCTAGACCTAACCTTGCCACCTTGCAAATTATCCCTTCTCTGGAGGCCTCAAGATTTTAGTTGATCAAACCAACATGAACATTCATTGGGTCCCTTTGCAACCCTTTTTAAATGAGACTTGGTAATTGTCATCCGTTCACCAAGGACGTTGGGGATGAACTTGGGGGCATTTTCTTGTTCATTTTTCACTGAGACAAAGGAGTGTGCTGACCCCACCCCCGCCCCCAGACAAGGACAAGATTCCTATATCAGCTGGGTCTAAAATAAGGAAAAGCCAGTGCTCCCACAGAGGGGACTTCCCGGGAAGGGTGTCACAGGAACCCCAAGGCCACATAGCTTCAGACATTCTGTCGGGGCTCTCGGGGGGCTCACCTACTGCGTGGCGGGACCTCCCTCACCGTGTTGCCCCTTCAATCTGCAGCCGCTCCGCAGGGAGGCAGGCCCAGGGAAAGGCAGTCTGGGGTCGGTGCTCGCGCTGTGCCCTGGCCTGCGGAAACCCACAAGTGTCCTCAACGTGCAAAACAAACCATCACGGCCCCGTGTCGTCGTCGTCGCCTGGCGCAATTGGAATAACAAATGCGATGCAGGCAAATTGTCCGCCTTGTGTTGCTAAGCGATTGTTTGTCGGCCCCGCACGCACGGCTCAGCATGGGAGGACAGCTAGTGTCCAGAGGTAGCCGGCGAGAGCGCTTAGGTCGGAGATGCAATAAACATGCCGCTGATTTTCCCTATTATTACCCAAACACGATTTCACACAAAGCAATCACCACGCAGAAGTCTATGAAAATGTGTTTGTGGAGGAGTCACTCGCCCCGGTAATAGCCCTCATTTTTAAGATATTCAAGAATAGATCAGCGGATTCCACATGCATAAGATCTATTTGCCGTTCGGCATCTGTCACCGAGCTTTTGCGCTGCGGTCATCACTAAATTGATTCATAGAGTGTAGATTAAATTGCTTCTCTGATTTAAAACAGTGTCCAAGTTTGGAGTATGCGTGTGGGTATCTTCTCCCGCCCCAAGATATTGTTTGTTTCATGGAGAAAACTGTCACCCCACATCCTTACACCCTACCGCATATAACTGTAAAAAATAATGCATCTGTGGCCCCAACTTCTTACGATTCGTTTCAGGAACTTCTTAAGTCTCTCCGTCTCCTGCCCGGTTACAGAGTTCACAATCGGATGTGTTTAAGTAGGATTTTTCGTGTCATGTGCAAAAAGCCCCTGTGTCCTTTTCGAAGGTATGGGGCCCTCCTTGGAGGGCGCATTAGCAGGGTCGGAGGAATTTGCAGTAATGCGCTGAGTCCTCTGCAGCCCGCGTGCTGCGCGGAGACCCGAGCCGTCCTCACTGCGCGGAATGGTAGTGTTGTTTGTATTTGGACTTTTAAAAAATCTAGTCTCAAAGCTAAGTGTTCAAACCCGGCTCCACGGCCCTGCTGCTTTCCGGAGGAGTCTCCGGTAGCCCCAGGGGATTTTCCGTGTGAGGCTGGGTGGGTGGAGTAGAGCCAGAGGCGTGAATGCCTCCGGGCTAAGGGGCAGCGTGCGCTAGGGTTGGGTCTCCTGCCTTCGGAGTGGCGGGGAGTAAGAGACGCTTTCTAGCTGATTTTTGCTAGAAGTTTTGCAACGCTCCAAATAAAAGCACCCGAGCCCCTAAGGAAGAAATAATCAAAGTGTTAGGGAAGCTCAACATAACCTTGGAAGAGAAGAAGGGGCTGTCGAAAAGTGACGTGTTCCCAAGGCCTTAGAAAAAAATATATTGCTTGGGCTTTCCGGGGTTGCAGAAATCCGATTTCAGCCGGGCTATTTACCAAAGTTTGTTTCAAAGTGACTGCACCGTTGCTTTTGCAAATCACAGAATGCAAATGACGATAATTTGTTCTCAGAAGAACTTTCTCTTGAAATGATTAGCAAAGTCAGTCATTTGAAAATTAGAACGAAGCCCTTCGCTAACCGATATCTGCTTCTAAAGTTTTCATTCATGTAAACCTCATTAATGAAGATCTTTTATTTAAACGTCAAGGGGATTTGAAATTTCGAGTAAATTATGAAGCTTGTATGTCTAGCCAAGTCATGGGTCAAATGCATTTGTGAAAAACTGCTAAAGAGCATATGGTTTTGAATTTTTCTACAATGACTAGTGTTTAAATAAATTGCTTGTACTGCTTAACTTCATGTGTAATTTTGACAGAAATTGGCCTATAGCCTTTTGATATGTAAACATTTCAGCCTTTTATGCGGTATAAAAAAGACACTTGCTTTTTAGGATCAGGCCAGGCAGTCACCCTGTAATTCAGAAAGCTGGTACCTACCATTACATTCTTGCTAGATTTCAACTTTCAAGTGGCAGCCTCAGGGGGAGAAAAAAGCGAAGAAAGAAAGAGGATATTTCAAAAGCAATGTCCATTTGGGATTAAAAGCTACAAATGAGGTGAGAACGTGCCACTTACTATCTGAAAGAAATGGATAAACCATAGTTATTAAAGAACATTTCTGTCAGTTTTCTTTAAGCCAGCCCGTCTGAGGGGACACTTAAGCGGGGCTGGGGACTGACTA